TGTTCCATCCTGGAGGGGTGGCGGATCCGGGCAGGGGTCGGGGCTGGTGGTGATCCAAGGATGATCCCAGCTCGGCTCTGCCCACAGGCCACTGCGCTCCCAACACGATGTCATTAAAGCCTGACGAGATTGAGCCTGACAGCTCAGCCCAATTAATGGGGCAGCCGGGAATCCGTGTGGGACCCACGGGCTGCACTGCGGGACAGAGAGGCACAAACAGCCCCGAGGGAGGGAGGGAGGGAGGAGCCCGGCTGCCCCCGCTCTGTGCGCACCTCGGGGTCGGGATCACCCCAGGACGGACAGCCCAGGCCAGCACCGGGCAGGTCTGTCATGGTCCTGTTGGGGACAGAATCGTGGAATCATCCCAGAATGGTTTGGGGTGGAAGGGACCTCAAAGCCCATCCAGTGCCACTCCTGCCATGAGCAGGGATACCTCCCACTGTCCCAGGCTGCTCCCAGCCCCAATGTCCAGCCTGGCCTTGGACACTGCCAGGGATCCAGGGGCACAGGACGTGGATGGGAATGGGTCAGGTCTCTCTGGCTGCAGCCTCGATGCTGTTGGTGGAGTTTTCAAGTGGGGCTGAACCACTAAACAGCTGGAGAGGGACTGGGGACAAGGGATGGAGGGACAGGACACAGGGAATGGCTTCCCAGTGCCAGAGGACAGGGATGGATGGGATATTGGGAAGGAATTGTTCCCTGGGAGGGTGGGCAGGCCCTGGCACAGGGTGCCCAGAGAAGCTGTGGCTGCCCCTGGATCTCTGACAGTGTCCAAGGCCCTTTCAGGGATTTGCCCTCTCCCCTGGGACTCCTGGTAGGACCAAWATGATGCAGACCTTCCATGGAGTTGGACAGCCACAAAGCCCACGTCCCATTTTTCTGTCCTTGTTATCCAACATTGCAACAGTCCAGGTCTGCAAAGGATTATCCAGCCCTGGTACAGCTGCCCAGGGCAGGGTTGGAGTCCCCAGCCTGGAAGTGCTCAGAAAACCTCTGAATGTGGCACTTGGGGACAGTGGTGACCGTGGTGGCAGTGCTAGTTGAGGGTTGGACTGGATGATCCTATAGGTCTTTTCCAGCCTTAACCCTTCCATGATTCCATGATTCTGCTCCCCAAAGCGTGGGAGCTGTGTCAGGGTCAGCCACAGCCTTCAGGGGGCTGTTCCGAGGCTCCAGCCAGAAGGGAGCACTGGGATGAGCGGGATGTGACCCCTTTCCTCCCTCCCTTCCAGGACAGAGGCTGCCAACAGCGTCCTGCGGAGCTCGGCCGGCCGCGAGCGCGCCTACGTCCTGTCAGCAGCCAAGAAGAGCAACGGGTGAGTGTCCAGAGGGTGGGAATGGGGCTGAAGCCAGGGAAGGGCTGTTGGAAGGGCAGAGGGATGGCAGCAGCCCCAGGGCTCTGAGGGTGAAGGGAACCTTTCCAAC